AAGGGTAAATTTCACAGTGACCACAAAGAAAGTTAACAAACCTACTCATCAAAATAGAGAAGAAAAACATAAAGTCTCAGTAAAAACAAAACCTACAAAAACAAAAGAAATGGAAAAAAAATCCACAAACGAGGAACTCACACAGGAGAGTAAGAGGAACAAAGAAAATGTTGGCACCACAAAAAAAATTACAAAATGCAATCCCACTCCTAGAGGAGTCCTCTCAGCCAGATGTTGTACACAGGGCTTCACATATGTTCCCTTTTTTAAGTAATCATCACAACCCCACGGGTAGATGAAGCTGTCACTATGTTTCATATATGGAGACTTAGAGAAGTTAAGAAACTTGTCCAGATTTGCACACTGGTGTCTGAACCTCTTAACCCTTGGGGCCATGTTTCCTCATCTACAAAATGAGTCAGTGGATGATTGCTAAAGCCTCTTCCAAACAAACCTATTGCCGTAGAGTTGGTAACCTCAGGACCCTACCCTGCTTGCCATGCATAGCCTTCTCCTACAGTTCCAACTTGTTGTCTTGTCCCCGGGTGCAGTCCCCTGTGTGGCCCTGCATCGAGGCATGCTATAATTTCCTCTCTAGGACTTGTGAGTACTAAGTTCTGTTTGTTTTCTAGCCTTCCTGCATGAGTCTCACTTCCTCGGGCTGCACCTGACTGACCTTCCACAACACCCCCAGACCTCTTTGGGCCAAACTTAAGACATACATATCAATAGATCACTGAAACACAGCCCTTAGGGGATGTCCTGAATCTTTCTTTGCTTGTTTCATGCCTCTCCCTCCTGCTTCTCATTCCAGGGCTCTGCTTCCTGCTGAGTTTGCCAGGTGCTGTGGCTCAGAAGGCCAAAGGTGAGTGCTCAGAGCTTGACTCTTCCACAGCCAGAGACCAGGGAGGGTAGGGACCAAGGCTGCAATTGGGACCACCCATGTCCTCCAACAGCCAGGAAAAAAAAGGGGCTTGTTCTGGGAGCAGGACTTGGGTAGGCTTGCTTCTGTTTTTTTGGTTTGTTTTTTAATTAATAATTTCACCAAATTTAGATCTTTTTATTTTATTTTTATTTGTGGTTACTAAAAACTTACTATTGTTAGCAACCACAGTATGCATGATGTGGCGATAGAGCAATGAATAAAACGCACAAAGTCTCAGGAAGTAAACTTTCTAGTAGGGAGAGAGAGAACATGATGTTAATCATTATCATTCCACTAATAAACAAGTCAACAGATAATGAACGAAGTAATTTCACTATAATATCCTGGGGATCTGCTAAAATGCAAATTCTGGTTCTGCAAGACTAAGGTGAGGCCTGAGATTCTGCATTCCTAGCCAGCTCCCAGGGCATGCATTCCAAGTAGCCCTGTGCAGTGCTCCTCCCTCACGTGCCCCAGTCCCTGCTCCCTGTGGACCTGCTGCAGTCTGTACCACTCCCAAGGCTCCCCCCAAGACTCCACAATTGAGACGTTTCCTCCACCCCATTACTTCCATTCATTCCCACCAGTTTCCATTGAGTTGATTCTGACTCACGGGGGCTCCTTGTGTGTCAGGGTAGACCTGTGCTCCGTAGAGTTTTCATACCTGATATTTTGGAAGCGAATCTCCAGGCCTTCCTTCCCAGGTGCCTCTGGGTGGACTTGAACCCCCAGCCCTTCAGTTAGCAGCTGAGTGCATTAGCCGTTTGCAACACCCAGGGACTCCATTCATTCCCAAGGGATCTCAAATAAAGACTTTTGACATACTCTGTCTAAACAAAGAAGTACCTTAACATGTTCTGTTATCAGAATGTACCTCCTGTTAAAAAACAAAAAAATTGCTATTGAGTTGATTCCAACTCATAACGACCCTAAAGGACAGAATATAACTGCCCCATAGGGCTTCCAAGGACCAGCTGGTGGATCGAGCTGCTAATCTTTTGGTTAGCAGCCTGAGCTCTTAAGTACTGCACCACCAGGGCTCCATACCGCCTATGGTGCCCTACAAATTCAAATTTTTATAATCCTAACTGACGTTTATTACATGCCAGGTACTGCTCCAAGCATTTTACATATATATTAATTCACTTAATCTTCATAATAACCCATTTCGCAGATGAGGGAAGTGAGCACAGAAAGATTAAGACATTTGCCCAAGGACACACAGCTAGTAAGCTGTGGAGCCAGAATTGAAACCTGGGACCACAGTCATAACTCACTCACTCCCATTTTTGTTTGTTTGTTTAATTCTGCAATGGCCCTGGGAGTAGCACAATAATATTGCATTGAATTTTTTGTGTTAAAATTAATTTAACACCAGCCCTCCCCCCCTCACCGAGTCCTTTATCATGCACAGGAACCCCTTTTTTTTCTATACCTTTGGTTTGGCATCTTTAATCTTTTAATGTACTGGGACCTCAAGAAAGAAAAGGGCATGGGCCTCCTCAGCCTCAGGAGGCCCTGCTCAGAAGTAAGGCCAAGCGATGACAAGACTGGTTGTAACCCAAGTGACAGTTGGCCTGCCTCTCTGCTCCCTGCAGCTTCCTGTCCTCGGTGTCCCGAGAATGCCTTTTGTGTCAATGGGACTTACTGTACCTGTGACTCTGGATATGCTTCCGGATCTGGGCAAAAGTTCTTCACATTCCCCTTGGAGATATGTAATGGTAAAGGGATAATTTTATTGTGGTAATTTTATTTTTTTATTGTAATTCTTTATATTTGTGTTGCCATCTCAACAATTTCTACATATACAATTTAATGACATTAATTACATTCTTCAGGTTGTGCGACCATTCTCGATATCCTTTTCCAAATCATTCCACCACCATTAACATAAACTCAGTGCCTCCTGAGCAAAAACTTTCCCTTTCCTTCCATCCCACCCCTGGTAACTGCTAGTCATCTTTGGTTTCTATATGTTTGCTTATTTCATATAAGTGAGATCATACAGTATTTGTCCTTTTGCGACTGACTTACTTCGCTCAGCATAACGTTTTCAAGGTTCATCCATGTTGTGGCATGCATCAGGACTTCATTTCTGTTTATGACTAGGTAGTCCATTATGTGTATATACGTTTTGTTTATCCATTCATCAGTTGATAGACATCTCGGTTGTTTCCACCTTCTGGCTATTGTGAAAAGTGCTGCAATGAACCAGTGGAAATTTTCAAATTGCCCAGGGGCTGGAGTAGAAGGAAGGCAGCAGGAGGGCTGGGAGAATGCACAGTGCTAAAAACTCTTCCAACTCAACCTTCACCAAGAGAGAAACACTGACTGTGAAGTCAGAAAACCAGGGCTCTTCCAGACTCTAGCTGGCCTCAGTTTTCTCCTCCATAATACAGGGATAATAATGCTGATTTCACAAGGGTGGTGGGGGGATTGAACCAGGTAATGAACGTGACAGTACTTCATGAATTGTAAAGCATCATACATTTTTTTTAAATAAGAGGAAAGAGAATATGCACTGATGTTATGGCAAGGAGAGAATAAATACTTGGGTAGAAATGAAATATTTTTCTAACCATTCTTAGGTAATATAAGTCCTGAGGTCACCAAAAATGCAATATTCATTCTCAATTCAATAATTAAAGTGTAAAGAGTATCAAAGAATTTTGGGGCCATGTTTTAAAACTGACATACCCAATCTGCTAGTCTATTTTACTAGAAGATTTTCATTTATATTTACTGTATATTAGTCCATTTATATTTAGTGCAATGACTGGCATATTTACTCCCTTCATCTTCACCTGTATTATTGATTTTACATTATTATTTCCTCATTTATCTTTTTCTTATTTGTGCTTATTTGAACAATTTGCTTTTCTTTCCGTTTTCCCCTTATTTATTTCAAAGTTCTACTTTTCCATTCTATTAACCTTCTCAGTTCTTAATTTCATAATCAAACAGATTCGGTTCCATTTTAGCCTCTTGAGGACCAGACATTCATACAAGGCAGCATCCACCCACCCACTAGGGATTCCCGTACATCTTGTCCAAGGTTGTCTCAGGATCCTCTCTTTCTGGTCTGCTTCCTAGGATTCCCTAGAACTCATCTCCAGGTATCCACCCAGCCCAACAGAGAGACAGTTCTATACCAGTTCTCCTATAGGCACCCAGGCCTTCCTTCCATCTGGACCCAGCAGCCATTGGCTCAGGAGAAACAAAGAGATGTAAGAGTGGGTACAGGAGGGAAAGAAAGCCACATTCAGTTATCCAAAATCCTAGAATGCTCTCAACCTGTTTTACGAGATTTTATTAACACATGGAGCCCAATATCCCTTAGGAGTCAGACAAAGACCCCAACTCAAGGTGAGAATATTTCTCAAATATTGTATAAGCCAAACTTCCTCATCCTCCAATTATTTCCCTGTCCCAGCCCAGAAAGATGACCATCACATGCTGATTCTGTGAAACGTCTTCAGAAGAAATGGGACAAGATAGCTATCAGCGTTCATCATGTGCCCCTTGGAGTCTCCATCCATGACAACATGACTGGTTTTGGTACTTATTGGGGCATAACAAACTACCCCAAAACTTAGTGGCTTAAAACAACCATTTTGGATTTCCACACACAGAAAAATGAAATAGGATCCATGCCTCACAAAAACAAATTCAAAATGGATTAAGGAGCTAAACGTGCAAGCTAAAACCATGAAATTCTTAGAAGAAAAGGCAGGGATGACGCTGTCAGGCCTAGCTTTTAACAGGGATTATCTAATAAAAGTACAAAAAGCAAAAGACAAAATAAATAAATGGAACCTTATAAAAAGTAAAAACTTTTGTTCATCGAAAGACTTCACCAAAAAAGTGAAAAGGCAAGTTACCAACTGGGAGACTGTCTTTGAAACCATACATCCGAAAGAATTTAATAATCAAAATATATAGAAAACTTTGACAACTTAACAACAAAAAAACAGATAACCCAATCGTAAAATAGTCAAAGGACTTCAGTAGACATTTCACCAAACAGGAAATTCAAATAGCCACCGAACACATGAAAAAGATGCTCAACATCATTAGCCATCAGAGAAATCCAAATCAAAACCACAATGAGATTCCATTTCACTCCCACTAGGATGACTAAGATTTAAAAAAGAAAAAAACAAAAAAACAAAATAACAAATGTTGGCGAGGATGTGGGAAAATTGGAACTCTTAGCCAATTATGCACCAACAACTATTGCCAAAAATGAAGAAATTGAATATTTTTACCAACTTCCGCAGTCTAAAATTGATCAGACATGCAATCAAGATGCATTGATAATTACTGGTGATTGCAATGCGAAAGTTGGAAACAAAGAAGAAGGAACAGTGGTTGGAAAATATGGCCTTGGTGTTAGAAATGACACGGGAGATCGAGTGATAGAATTTTGCAAGACCAACGACTTCTTCCTTGCAAATACCTTTTTTCAACAACATAAACCATAACTATACAGGTGGACCTCGCCAAATGGAATACACAGGAATCAGATCCACTACGTCTGTGGAAAGACACAATGGAGAAGCTTAATATCATCAGTCAGAACAAGGCCAGGGGCTGACTGTGGAACAGACCATCAATTGCTCATGTGCAAGTTCAAGTTGAAGCTGAAGAAAATTAAAAGAAGTCCACAAGAGCCAAAGTAGAACCTTGAGTATATCCCACCTGTATTTAGAGACCATCTCAAGAATAAATTTGATACATTACACAGTAATGACTGAAGACCTGATAAGTTGTGGAATGACATCAAGGACATTATACATGAAGAAAACCAAAGGTCATTTAAAAGACAGGACAGAAAGAAAAGACCAAAGTGGATGTCAGAAGAGACTCTGAAACTTGCTATTGAACGTAGAGTAGCTAAAGCAAATGGAAGAAATGATGAAGTAAAAGAGCTGAACAGAAGATTTCAAACGGCAACACGAAAAGACAGTAAAGTATTATAATGAAATGTGCAAAGACCTGGAGTTAAAAAATCAAAAGAGAAGAACACGCTCAGCATTTCTCAAGCTGAAAGAACTGAGGAAAAAATTCAAACCTCGAGACACAATATTAAAGGATTCTATGGGTCGCTATGAGTCAGAATCAACTTGACGGCAATGGATATGGGCAAAACGTTGAATGATACAGTGTCTTGGTCATCTAGTGCTGGTACAACAGAAATACCACAAGTGGATGGCTTTAACAAAGAGAAGTTTATTTCCTTGCAGTTAAAAGGGCATCAGCTCCAGGGGAAGGCTTTTTCTCTCTGTCGGCCTTCTTCTCTTCAGTGTTCCCCCAGACTAGGAGCTTGTCTGCGCAGGGACCCCGGTCCAAAGGACACGCTGTGCTTCCGGCACTGCTTTCTTGATGGTATGAGGTCCCCAGTTCTCCACTTGCTTCTCTCTTTTATGTCTCAGGAGATTGCCTCAGGACACAATCCAATCTTGTAGATTGAGTCCTGCCTTACTAACACAACTGCCACCCATCCTCCCTCATTAACATCATAGAGGCAGGATTTACAACATATAGGAAAAAT